TGTTAGACTGTGACGCGGCGCTTACGCGCTTCTATATTTTTGTCCCTACGCAGCTGAAGCAGCGCGATTGCTTTAAAAAAAGTTCGAAAGTTTGTAAAATTTCAGGGATGGGGCGGCATTTTTGTCAGTGCCCCGGGGCGCCAAATTTCTAAATCCGGCCCTGTGCATAACTTAAATTGAAAACCAATGAACTGATGATGATAATTGAAACAATACTAGCTACAATAGCCAAAAAAGTATTTTTTCATAAAAAAAGTCATGTTGTGTAGTTCCTATTAATTTAATCAATCAATAAATAAGTTAGATGTCCTGTCACATGCTTAAAATGCAATTAGGCTTAAAACTGTTCCGCAAAAATGAATTGCTTTAAAAAATGGCTTCGTATAATTTATTCTTTTCAAAAGTTTGAGAATTGGCTTCTCTTTAAAATACATTCAATCAGTAAACTGAGTTATAAAAAATATCGGCTATATTTAACAAATTTACATTCTTTGCAAACGTTGTTCAATTTGTGCTTATCATGTCATAAATAATAATTTATAAGAAAAGTGAAGATAACGTGTTTCTTAAAATTAAAATTCGTGCCTTGAGATAACGTTAAACCTTACATCTGTATAGAGATCTGTATGTACGTTAAATAGACATGCACACATAAAACATATATAATGGTACCACGAAATTTCTCGGGACACTTGTTGGTGGAAACGTATACAATTTATACGACAGAGACGCACAGTCTTTTGTAAAGCATTGATTATAAGGCAGAAATTATACTATTAAGAAGGTGGTATTATTATTATTAAATGCACCAGTTTCTGCATAGATCATTTTACGAATACAGCTAAAGTAATGTACACATAGTCAGACAAATAAGTTTTGTATATATTATAATTACGATTCGTGAGTCAAATGACTAAATATAGAAAACGAAGCGTATAGGGAAAACATATTGATATGAAATGAGTACAAAGAACGTATCTCTAGAGTAGATATCACACCGAATACATTATATAATTCAACTAAAAATTTAACAAAATTACGTATATAGCATATTTAACATAATTTCAAATAAATTATAAAAAGTAAATAATACTTTTATTCAATACTTCGTGGTTCTCATAATGTAACTTGGTAATCAACATAAAATTATTAATTTCTACTCTATCTTCATTATCTGTGTCACGTTGTGAATAGCTAAAATTCACATAATAAAGAAATTTAGATCATAAATATCTTTATAACTTTATTTAAAATGTGGGACGTGCGAATGTTTGTCGAACTTATCACAACACATGAATAATAGAAAAATTTTAAAAAAACTAAAACACTGCTTAAAATATTATACTACAAATATAGTATATGTAAGTATATTTTAGAAGAAAGTAGGAGCTACAGCATGAGGAATTCCAAGAACCAAGAACTTCTAGTTTTTAGATTTAATGTATCGAAATTTTCTAAGGTTTTAGACAAGTGTAATATTCGTTGCTTGACTTGAAAGGTTCACAAGGAATATTATTATCTTCGTTAGTAAAAATTATTTAATGTAATTAGAATCAGGATCTGTTGCCAAAAATGTAATTTTAAATACGATAATGCACAGAGAAAAGGACTTTCAGCAACAACTTAAAATACTAGTATTTGAATATATAATCAAAGCCATCAATCTGACTAGAACTGGCAGAAACAGTAAGTATAAATTCCAATAAGATATGAAATTCACATTCACGAATTGATTGTGACAATCTATCTAATCGTATTTATTGGTTTATGATAATATAATCTTCCTAAAATCCAGTACAAAATTTTAACATTTAAAGACGTTTAAAGTTCTACTTTTCCTTTGAGAATGGTGGAAGAGTTGAATTTTACTGAATGAACTAAAAATCAGGAAAATTTAAAAATCATTCGATAAATGCTTGAGAATTATTTACGAACACTTTAAGCGAAATATATAATTATTATTAAATATTAAAACATTTTAAACGTTCAAATATAAAATTAGCTTGATCTTAAGATGTCATACGTAATGGGTTCAAATATTACTCAGATTCTTATAAAAATAAATTTATAATAATAACAAAATATATGTTACGTTATGAAATAAAAAAAATCTACGGCGATGTTGTCGATTGAACCAATAGCTTTTCTTTCATGTATAATTTAAGCATTAGATTTTAGCATCTAAGGATAGAAGAAGAGGGTATTTATTCCATAATAAAAATGAAACTAAGTAATGAAACAAACAATTAAAGATTTGTAAATCAATACTGTATCATATTCAATCAGAAAATAAAAATTTGCCCTTTAACAATGGGCCTAACAAATACGAGTGGTAAAAAGAATTTGATAGAATGTGGTAATTTTAGCAATTAAAAATCGAAGAATATAAATATACGCAATCATTAAAACATCCAACTTTTGCGATCGGTTTAGTATGTTAAAAAATAGCTTTTATGCTAAGACGATAATAAACCGTTTATTAGGATAATTAGTAAACAAACGCTACATATACATATGTCAATTGACATGTATTTGGAAACATCACATAGGTTGGTAACAAAAAAAAGCGTCTCGGAATTAAATAAAAATAAAAATTCTTTGTAAGTGTTTTAAGAAAGCCGCATAAAAATTAGAATTAAATGAGTTAAAAATGATAAATCAATTGTACTTGATATTTAAATATTTATGTATTGTCTTTATGCTGTAGGTCCAAATGTTTTACCCAAATTATTATTTATTATTGACAAGTGATCATTGCCGCTCTTACAATTAGGAAGTATGCAACTCAATATTTGTTCTCAACTTCGATGATAGAAGTGATACAAAGTTTCCAATTTTCTTATGTAAACTATATGTCCAAAAAAACAATAAAAATACTGTCTAAATTTGCGGTACATTGTTCGCATAATACAACATATAGCAAAATAACTCAACTTGGATATTTTTTGATAATTGTGTTAATGTTCTATTAAAAAAAAAACAAAATGGTTTAGCATTATTTCAGGGACTCGGGCTATAAGTCAAACATAAACTTGAGAACAATGATTGAAACTATTTAAATTAAATTTCAATTAAACGTTTATTTAGATTTGTTAATAAATGTCTTGATTATTTCAGCACATAAATCGCCTCATCAAGTTATTAAATTACGTCTCCTATGTAAATCCAAAAACTAAACTGCAATCCTAATAAAATATGAAAATTCATAAATCTGTCATCAATAATGCTTTGAGTAAGTTCATACTTCTATATAAAAATCACTACCACATCAAACTTGTTTCTATTGAAGATTATTTTTTCTTTGATAATAAATTTGATAATGTTTAATTATTTTTATAAACTTGATTTTGTTACGTTATTATAAGATCTCTTAAAAATACATAATAGCATAATTATACAAAAATTCAAACATACTAGATTAATTTATTCACCGTTTCCAGCGTGATAACCTTAAAATGGTACAAAATTTTGAAGTCGTTAGGTATGAAAAACATTAAAATTATTAAACGAGTTGCCTATTAAAATGTATCAATTACAATATGAAGTACAAGAAATTATAACTCACCGAGCAGAAGCAGTTTAAGTTCCCTCCTGGCATCTCGTTTGTCCCGCCTGAGTTGCCGCTCGATTTCCTGGTTGATGCGCTTCTGCTCTTTGGCCTCCTCCGACAGACAGCACTCCATCTCGCCGCTACGTCACCTGAACAGGTATAACTTTTTATTATTAATACCGCTAATAATAAAAGTAATAAATTTAGTAATATTGGGTATGTGCACAATAAGTATAATATTATTATAATATGCGGCTCAAAGAATTAAAAAACATTATGTACTGAAAAACTTTAGTACACTATAAATTCAAGAACTAATATTCCGTCAATATCATAGTTAAATGATTAATAATGGAAATAATGGTAAAAGGTAATGATTTCGTACTGTAGTTAAATGCAGTTCTTATTTTTGACAAGTTGCAAATTGATAATATGAATCAATTCTAATAGTTTGCAGTTAAGTTTGTATACTATCAAAAGAAAGGAAATTGAAAAATAACTGAACCGTTTATTATAAAGATGTCGCTTGAGCAATCTCCATGCAAAAATGGTAATAGCAATAAAAAATTTACACCAGACATGTCAGAATGCTTGGAACCAACTAGGTATCTTTTACATAAATTGCGAACAAAATATGTCTGTTGCGAACAAAAAATGGACATAATATAGAAGAAATTTAATTTTATTATAAAATCGAGGCGATTCGCGGGTTGATTATAATTAAATATTTTTAAATTTTCAATTATTTTTAACTTATGTGTAATATCCAATATCTGGGTTTTGAAACATTTTGCTTATTTATTGTGTAATTTATTCTGTTGAGCAAATCATGCCAAGTGAGCTAAAAAACTAGCTTTTTATTTTCAATCATAACACTCGTATTTCGTGTTGGATTTTTTAAATTTAAATTTAATTTAATTTTTCATTATTTACAATATCCAAAATTGCGTCGTAAACTTCTCCTTATTGATATCGTAAGAGCCGAATTGTATTCATATGAATACAGTTCGGCACCCTTGCATTCCCGTCATATTCAGAGAATCAAATTGTTGTTTTAAAGTTAAATTTTTAACGTATTTTAGAAGTATTGTCCAAAAACCAGTAAAAAAAAGTAAAGAAATTACACATTTCTTAAACTATATTGAAAAGAATTATGTTCGATATGTATTATTTCTGAATAGTTAATAATTAAGAAAATTTAGAGTATGGATACCACTAGGTATAAAAAAAACTTAAGATTTTCGTTCCAAAGTAAATTTTGCTTTCATTTTTCATATTTGTTCCATTTCCATAACCTTAATCACGCATTTCTTCAACATTCAAAGTTCATCAGATGCGAAACATTTGCAACAAAAACAAAAGCTACAATTCAATTTCTCGGAATAAACATGCCATTTTCCAACCACTGACTCCCCATTGTTCATTTTCCCGATTATAATTTGTTTATATTTTTTAACAAGTTCTGTTTCAACTAAATCAGCTCGCAATTTTTCATTGTATTCTAAATTTTATATAAATTTAATTCCGGAACTCGATTTGGCGCCCCCTAAGGCATGCAAGGCAGGACCGGCCCTGTATATATATATATACAAAGCGATCTACACGAAAATAATATTCCATGATATCGAAGTCATCTATTAAACATTTTCACAAATTTCCAAGCTCTTAATCATTTTCAAGATTCCAAGCTGTTAATCATGCCTTTAAAGCAAATTTTTGAGGACAAATGATAAAATTTGAAGAAAATCGAACAAACAATGTATACAAATTGGACGAGACAGTTCTGGATCTCCACCTTATACCCTGGATTTTTTCTTATCAAAGACTACCCAGAATTTTTGAAAAGGTTTGTATTGTCAATATTTATTTTCACATAATTTGCACCAAAAAATGTGCATACCAAAATAGGCGACGTGAAATAGACACACTAAAAGCAATATTACTTACTGAAGTTACTTGCGAAAATAATAATATTAAAACCTTTAACTAAATACTTCTGGTTAAAAAATTGATTTATTCACAAAAAACTAATATTATATCCTTAAATGGTTGGGTTATGTATATAAAAGTCCTATAAATATATAAAAGAAAAAAACATATTTAAGTTTCATAACTACAACAACCATACTCACGGCTATATGTTCACGTGCCGGATTTGAAATAAACAAATATAGGCAAATAAAAAAATATACAATGTAAAATAAATCAATTTTGTTTCAGAAAGTGTTCGATAAAACAAATTGGCAATTTATCGGACAAATGTTTCCTGGAATTTAGTATGAACAACTATTAAATTAAAATTTAATAAAAACTCCTTACCGACGCGTCACCGTCACCGTCTTGATCACCAGCAAGCCGTGCCCGTCTCACCGGCCGCCGCGTCACCGGCCGACGAACCACTTCACCAGCGAGCGGCCTCTGCAATAAATGATTAATGAAAAAAAAATTAGTAACAAATTAATAAAATAAAGAAGGCACTAAAAGTTGCTTTGCCTAATGACACTTTTAGGAGTAAACTACACGAAATTCATTTAATTTTTAACCATTTGTGATGCGATTACTATGCAAATATGAATTAAAACTGAAACTTGGCATTTTAATTTAAAAGTATAATACATTTTTCTTTCCAAATTACTTCTGCAAAAACCTAAATAAACATACGAATATACTATAAGAATGCACTGCCTTCTGCCCTGATATCAATATCCAATTTTCATGCCCTGATAACGAATTCGTGAACACCTGAATATTTTATTACCTTGACAAAAAAAAAGATATACTTAATTTTAATCTTCGTTTACATGGTGTGCAATTCAACTTAAATTACATTATACAGCCTAATGTATATCACAAATTTAATAAAAAAAAAAGATTAAAGTTAATAATAATCATTCATATTGCGCGTTATATAGTATGATGAATTATCAAAATATTATTTCAAAAATGCTCGGACCATTTAAATTTCTCAAATTATCACTAAAAAATTACCACCAAAATAAATTTAAAACGTTATAATTAATATATTAAAACAGTATTATGTTTGATAGTAAATTTCCTAGTTTTGTGATACTAGTTATTCATATTTTGTAAATATCTTTAATATAATTGAAAATTGTACATAAATAGTTGATAGAATGTTACCTTTCTAAAATAATTTAATGAACTTAATGAAACATATAACACTAAACTTAGCTAATTTCTATATCATTATGATTTAATCAACGAGTATTAATTTACACATTTTTATTTGATTAATTTTCATATATTTTCGTAGAAGTTTTTTTTATATATAACTACATTTGAGAATAAGGAATTTAATAAATAAAATATTAAAATACTATTTGAAACTATTTTCAATTGAATTTCTTTAAAATACGGCGATTAGATGAAAATAAAAAACGTATGGAGAATTTTAACTATTTGTCTATAAAATTCAATATTAAATATCTGTGATGGTAATTACTTCAACTAAGAGAGTTTTGTGAAGTAAATCTGTGTTTATATGACTTATAATGATCAATTTATAATCACCAAATATATATAATATGTATGCATGTATCAAAATGTTATTAATGAAATCGATAATTAAACTCAAAATCTACCTAAAACTCCGGTAACGATAAACAGCTTTAACTAAATTCTCTAAATATGGTCATATGACTCTTGTAAAAATTTATGTAAGAAAATGATTATGCGTTTTTATTTATAGAAATAACACAACAGAAATTTTAAGAAATTCTTTTAAACTACAGTTTCGCTATTTATAAAATGTCCATTGCACGAGGTCCTCACAAAAATATTATAATACATACCGCCTAGAAATAAATTTTATCGCATGATATTGATTTTGTAATGAAAATTTTGGCCTAAGTCTCAAATGTAACTCGAAATGAAATTCTTGTGAACAAAGCCGATAATGAACACTAAAATTATACTTCACCAGCCATTCATCTCTAGTGATTTGAGAAGTGAGTGTGAAAGCATCGATGTCTTTACTTATCAATTTCACTCTCACGTGCAACAATTTGCAAAGCTCGGGCCGTTAACATGCGAAAAACACAAGATTCATGGAAGTATCTAATTTGACATCTTAATTATGATGAAACACTCACTAATGTACACCAGAGACGTCGACCTTTCGACGTTTTTAAGACTTCGGGTAGTATTTTCGCGGATTTTCGAAGCAAGCGCACTAAATTATCGCGAGATATTTGAAAGTTTATCGGCGCACGCGCACTTGGCCAAACACCACCCTCACGTATTGGGTGTGGTAACTCACTAACAAGCGCCTACCCTGTCACATTACTGACCGTCTATTGTACAAGCACGGTACGATTATGAATAACTGCACAATTCGAGAGAATGCCACAATATCATAATCTAATTATTCTAATCCTCATCTAAGCACCAATCGCTTATGATAGGTGCGCATGCACAATTTTCATTCAATGCTAACACCGATAGCCGACTGCCGGGGGGAGCACACAGATTGGAACAGCCTAAGTTTAGGTTACGATTTCTTCGATACATTAACTATACACAAAGGACGCCGCACGTTTTTATCACAACACACTGCATACCTAAATAAATATCCATGCGGCATATAATTCCTCCTCCGTTGGATATTTTGCACAACACTTTAATAGTTCAATTTTAATTGCACGGCAGCCGCCTCAATACTCAATATGGCGGCGTCTCTATCACGATGTCAGGCACAGATCAAATACATTTCATGTCAGAATTGTCCCTGAATTGTCGCCGTTCTCAACAGTACGGCAGAAGAAATTTGCCCGCACCTGGCATCCCTAATAGTGGCAACACTAAGAAAAGAAACTTTTATGTTACAAACATAAAACAACTTTATTCAATTCAAATTTAACAATTAGCGGCAATGATGTTAATATAAAATAAATTCATATAAATAATAAGTAGAAATATATTTTTACGTTGAAAACTAATACTTCATTTTTTCTTTCACTTAGTATAAGCACTGTACACTACTAGTAAAAAAAATAATAAATAACTTTATACAAATTATATAAATATATAAATATATAAATATATATTTATAATACTATAGTTCAAATATTTAAATATAATATTTCAAAAATATTTGTGATATGATTTTGTATTACAATCAACTATATATTAACATAGATAATTAAAAGTTTTGATTTACAAAATGATTTGAATATTATTCAATATTATATGAAATGTACGGACAACGAATATTAAATACTATTAATAAGTGTATTTAATATTCGTAAAATGTATAAGAACAACGTATATTAAATACTATCAATAGATTATAAATTGCTAAAATCATTAATTTTTATTTCATTATTATTTCTCAAGTATTGAGAAAATGATACAGTTTAATAATATTCATGCAGAATTTACTTTTGTATGCGATCGCACTCTTTCTTTTTTAAATCATATTTAATTATAATTAAATTATTTTAACATTATTATTATTTTAGAATACATTGATTCTAATAAAACGACCAACATCTTATTAATGTTATCCTTGAACTAATATCATAATTGGATTGTTTACAGTGTTGGCCTTCATTTATAAGGTTTCTGACAGAGATTATTCTCCAAAATGTGATTATTCTAAAAATGCAAGAGTCGGATGAACCTTACACTAATCTTGTAAATAGAGAATTATAAATTATATTTTCTCAGACATATATGTCATTTGTAAAGAATGAATACAAAATTTTATTATTAATATTCTTTGAGACTATCAAATTCAACAATAATATCCGCTTATCTCATTGCTGAACTCTTTTATTAAATTTGTACATTGTTATGTGATTATTCTTTACAAGCGCATCAATTGTAACATCCGAAAAAATAAAATGTGCTAGATTTGTTGGCATAGAAAACTCAAATAAAATTCATTCGATCTGTTAAAATCATAAAAAATAATAACCAGATATTTGTTAAAATTTGCCTTAAATATTTAATGCTAAGATATAATTTTATATATTGCATATATAAGAATCAAATTATAACATTTATAACTGGAGTTAATATAACATATATTATATAATACAATATATTTCTATAAAAATAACTGAATATTCAAATATATTATGAATGTTTGCAGGTTTTTAGTAGTTTACAAAAATTCAAATTGCCCTATTTTTAGCGCCTATACAGATTGACAGCTACCCTGACATGTTCCTGACAGATCTGGCAATATTATTGTTTGCTAAAATGGTGAATGAAAGCTATAAGTTTGTTTTGCGTTCAATTATGACACCTAAAATGTGTAAATAGTTTATGTTGAAATATTATTTTTACATACATGCTTATGTAAAATTACTGAATACCACTTAGAAATCTGGAATTTAAAAATGTAAATAAAAATTATAATTTGACATAAGTTGATTGCCGACGGATAAAATGGCGTCTGATAATGAAGCCTGTGTAAATGATCCAAATTTTGCAGTTATTTGCTCATTTTTTAATAAATTTGGTAAAATATGTGGTGTCCAATTGCCTAAAGTAAAAGACCTTCAGGCAATGCTTGAACAGAGCCAAGAAGGTATGTATTTGCATCTAATTATACCTGTCATGATTAGCAATGTTTTCATTATTTTGTTTTGATTTAGTTCATCCAGCATTGATTGATCTGCACGTTAAATTATTACGGAAAGCACGAAGAACTGTCCATTTAGATAAATGGGAACGCGCCTTGGTTAAATTTATTCACACATACTCTAATCAAGATGCCTGGAACTTAGAACATTTGGGCTATAAGAAACTAAAACTCCCGCAACGACTGTTTATTCTTAAAGTAATAATATCTTTTTAATAAAATAAATATTTTTATCATTTTTAGGTAATAGAACATTGATGTGGTTTTTTTATAGAACTTATTGGAAATGCAATTTGATAATGCAAAATTCAAGAATGCATTGCTGCAATCTTCGGCTGACGACTTAAGATTAGAGCCTATTGGAAAAGATAAAAAAGGAAATTCATACTGGTATCAAGTTGATGAGGATTGTAATTTAAGAGTATATAAAGAGAATTTAGATGAAGAATCATGGACACTGGTTGCCCAGTAAGTTCATACAATATAAATATTATCTGCAAGAGTTGTTGATAAATCTTATTTTTTCTGATAAGTTGTATTTTGTGCCTCAATATTTAATAATTTTAGTCTGAATATTCAATTAAAAATTTAAAACTTTTTAGAATGTTTATATCCATTATATTTTTTACTTTTAGAACCCGTGAGGAACTTGCTGATCTTATATCAACATTGGGTGGGTTGGAAAAAAATGGTTCTAACACTACAAGCAATGAAGATAGTAATAGTATAGCTACAATAAACAGTTTGCTCACATCAAAAAATAATGATGATTCTATAACAAATGATACTATTAAAATAGTTTCAGCTACAGATAAATCAAAATCAAAAGAAACTGAAGATTCTGAAGAGTTTTTGAGTCCAGATGATGAAGATAATTACTTTGATGATGATATTGTTAATGATAATGCAAAAGATGGTATGGACGATGATAAAAAAGAGAAAAAGATTAATGGTAATGGAGTAAAAAGCTGTGTGAATAATTCATATGAAAATAAGGCACGTTCAAAAAAAAGAAAGTGTAAAAGTTTAAGTGAAGAGGATCATAGTGTAAACAAAAAAATGAAAAAAGACGTTAGTGATATAATCAATGATGAGCCGACTTCCTCAAACAATTCAGATGAGTCAGAATATGGTGCAGCTATTGAAGAACCTGTTATGATTGTGACTGGTCAGGGATCTGGAGTGGATTGCGATGCTGGCAATCCTGGTGAATCTGGAACTGCTGAAAATTCATTATCTGACACAAAAGAGGTGAGAAATGATTCAACAACTCAATCGGTTCAGGACAGCTCAACGGATGTGGAAACTGCATTGAAATCTCCAGATGATGAGCAAAATAGTGGTGAATCATTAATAATAAGTGATACAAATGTTAAAGAAAGAAAACCTTTGATGTATTTTGGACAGCCTGGTTGTTTGAAGTTGAATCCAGTGATGGTGAGGACAGCAGGACATGCAAACTTTTTAAATACAAATTATTCAAAAATTCAAGACAAAGTGGATGTGTGCAATGCCAATGATAATAAAGCCTTAACTACAAATTGTTCAGACTTAGATAAAAGTCATTCTGGGCAGGATATTGCAGATTCAGTTTCATTAAGTAATAAAAGTAATGAATATGCAATGGATACCAAAGTCGGGGATGAGGAATCGATTTTTCTTTCTAAAGGTAATAATATAACCTTCAATAATGATTCATTGAATGAAAAATCTTTAAGTGAAAGTTTCATCAACAAATCTTTAAATGAAACTACATTTAGCACTTTACTTTATGAAGTAACTAACTTGAGCATAATCACTCCAAATGCCAGCATTGCCAGCATAGAATCTTCATTGATCGATGATTCAAAATCTGCATTAAATAAATCAGAAATTGTTTCTAGTAATTCTACTGATGATAGAACTTCTACTGCAAGTATTTCACCTAAATTGAAAGAATGTGATAATGAAGGTTATTTAAAAATTGATAATACATCTGAAAATATACAAGATCAACAATCTATTACTTTGAAAAGCAATTTGGAAGAAGATATTTCTAATCTAAATGAAACAAAAAAAGATTTTTTATCTATTAAAACAACAATTGCTCATGATGAAAAACCTAAAGATAAGGAACATAATAAGAGTAGTGCTTTTTTCGTAGAAGTTGAAGCCAATGTAATAAATATAAATCTCAATACTGGTCTTGATACCCAAACAGAATTGATTAGTGTAGAAAAAGAATCATTAGAAAAAAAATGTGATAAAGACTCACCTCAAAATGATTTACTAAAAAATAAAAATATAAATCAAATTAGCGAATTATCTGAAAATTTTATAAATAATTTAAATGAACATGATACTGTTCTTGATTCAATTTCAGAAAAAAATATTAAATTAAGTTCTAATATAGATTTGATCAGTAAATCTACTGAAGATATCAGTACGGTTAAATGTGATGAGTGTAATAGTACAAACAAAATTTTAATAAATGAAAAGGAAAAGAAAGAAAAAGCAGTTAATGAAGATTTTTTAGAAGTGGTTACAGATACAGATGTCAAGTCTGAGAAAATTAAAGAAGAATCGGAAATGATTGAATTTAAATCGACGGTAGATACAGAAAATGGTTTGTTGCTTTCAGAAACAAATATAAGTACTAAAGAACATAAGGATGTACAAAGAATATCTGAAATACTCAGTCACACAACTGTCGAAAATGTGGATCAAGCTCATTCAGTAAATTTAAATGTAAATGATTCTAATGAAATTGATAATAATTTAAATTCACATGAAATATTACAAAAAGAACCCACTTCATGTTTTAATAATGAAATAGTTAAAACTACTGAACTTAATCTACAGAATGAAACTAATCGAGTGGGACTGATAAATTGTGAATTTAGTTCTGCTAATACTAAATATAATACTTTGATAGGTGATGATAACAAAATTCAAAATATAACATCATTTGGACACAAAGAAGCGAATCAGGACGAACATATAGAACAATCTGATGTATGTATAGAAAAGATATATGAAACAACACAATATAAGAAAGAAGAACAAATTTTAGGTAAAGAGGTAACAAAAACAAGTGAAGATCACATTGAAGGAATATCTAATGAAGAAAATTTGAAAACTTCAATGATTTGTAGCGATAATAAGAACATTAAATTTGTATCTGATGCAAGTATCAGTGAAATTGATAAATCTAAGGAGGTATGCACTAATACCTTAAAAGAAACTGCTGAAAAGGAACCGACAAATAAAAAGCCTGTGGAGTTTATTGCGGGTGTAATGGAGGATTCTCAAAACAATCTTTTAAAAAAAGAAAATATCAAAAATATTATTTGTGCAACTATGAAATCAGAAATTAAAAATGTGACTGATGGATGTAATACTAAGATAATATCAAAATGCAATAAAAATTTTAATAGTTCTGAGGAACTTGTTAAAAGTAGAGATCCTGAAGGCGAAAAAATCAAAATTATTTTAGACAAAGATTCTAGTGTAGAAAATAAGTCTTCAGAGAAAGGTAATGGGAATCATGAATGTAAGGAAACTGATTTAATTTTAGAAAAATCAGAACAATTAACAAATACATTGATTGCAAATAAAGATTCAATGGAAATCGAAAGTGATGCTTTAAAACAAAATAATTGTTTATCTAATACTATAACAAAGAATCAGGAAAATGATTCCAACAAATTTTTTTTAGCTTCTAGTCCCATATGTACAGAAATCGATCCAAATGAATCTTCATTATCAGAATCAAAACAAACAGAAAATATTCCAATTGATTCCTCTAAATTGCAAATAAATTTTGATGAAACTAACAATGAAACCAAGATGCCTTTGGAAAACAATTTAGAAGACACTGTTGGTATTGTTGACATAAGTTCTTCAGTTTCTACTTCAAAACAGATAAATTTGGAGGAAAATGAAAATGAAAATAACTTTCATGATAAATCTGTTGAAGCTGATAAAGTTGATATTAATAAACAAAATGCTAATGACAAGTGCCATACTCCTATACCAACTTCAATTAATTTAGAATGTGATAATAATGATCAATGCAAATTATCATTATCTGGTAAATCAGAAGTGGTTTCTCAGGACAATCCATTATTGAAATTGCCTAAAGAATGTCAAACTCTTGAAAATAAAGATTCCGATATCTTTGATGAAACATCAAAAATCAACCAAAATTCAGATTCAGAAATCGTAAAACCTATTGCAAATGCGGATGATTTTTCTAGATCAGATACTAAACATAAAGATTATTGTGATAATTCACAAACAAAGAGTTTTATTGTTAAACCTCGGAACGAAACTAAAGATAATATCGAAAATATTTTAGATAATTTACATAAACCGTATGACAGTTTAGAAAATACTGTGACAGTAAAAGATACTGACACATTATACAATGCAGAAAATAAAGATAGCATTTCATTAGATGGTGCGACAATACAAAATAAAATGTTTTTAGATAATAATGAAGTGTCTCCACAGTTGGCAGATTCAAAAGAAAACACACTAGTGGATCACTCAACTATTACAAATGATGACAATTTACGGCATTTGAATAAAATCCATTCAGAAGTTCAACATGAAGAGAACAGTAAAAGTATAACAATTTCTTGCAATTTTGATAGTTCTAAAAATATAACCACTACAGATAAAGTGGATGTAAAAGATGAGGTCTTAAATTCAGAAACTTTTGTAAAAAATTCAGTACATTCTTGTCCGCAAAGTGTTGTGGGTGAAAATTCAATTATATCCAATAATAATGACACCACTTTGGAGAATCAAGAAATTTCAGAACAAGCAAGAAAAGATTGTGGTGAAAATTTAAAATTATGTTTAGTCTCTGAAGAAGTTTCTGATCAGAAAAAAATGATTAAAAATGAGACTTCACAAGACTTTAATAAAACTGAAGAATATGTAGTAAATGTGAATACTGAATCTAAATTAGTATCTACAGAAAACATAATTGAAACTGATCCTAATAATTTCGAAAAGAATATCAGTGGATTGACGGAGCTTCATGAGAAAGAGGCAAAATTAGCTGTAAAGTCAGATAAGGCGAAAAAAGAAAAACTTTTAGAAGATAGTACTGATGATAACCTCATATTGAATAACACTTGCGAGGCAAAAATATTTATATGTGAAAGCGTAACAGATATTGAAAAACCTTCAAAAATACATGAAAAGGAAGACTTATTAAATAAAGATGCAGATACACATCAGTCTAGTAATAATATTATTGAAGTTCAAAGTATAAATAAAACTGTAGATACTAGTGAAAGTGCTGATGTATTTGAACTGAAAACAAGCATGGTCGATAAAGACAGTGTTCATGAAATACCTAAAAATGAAAATGTAGAAATCAAAGAAGGAAGTTTGGGCATTGAACAAAGGGACTCACAAGAGCATGAGAAGGTTGATGCACATTTAAATGTGGAACATGTTAGTATCGTAAGAGCGAGTGATAAAGATGAACTATTACAGACAAAAATAGAAGTTGTTGAAGAGAGTAATATTGCTTCAAATAAAAGTTCACAATTAAATGATATTGAAAATCGAAAGCAAAATGATGATATACCATTAATTTCTGAATTAGTTGTACCTTGTACAAATACTGTGCCTCATTCTCTCGAGAACGATCAGGTGAGCAATGAAGATAATTTTATGGTTAATGATATTATAATTAGCAACAGCTGCTTAATTAAATCGAAAAATAAGAATGATCAAATAGAAATTGGAAAAGAAATAGAAAAAGATGCAGAATCAGATTCTAAACTTGTTACTCATGGTGAGGAAAAACTCATAACAAGCACAGCTATTGACATAAATAAAACTGAAGTAACAAGTCATGAAAACGTCATTGAAAAAAATTGTGATAAATCAGACATAATCTCAACAACTACAGACAATGATAATGAGAAACTTGAATTAAAAGTAATTTCAGAAAAACAATCAGAACAAAAGTTAGAAAAAGAAATTGAAATACTTGATGATAAAGAAGCAACAAAATTCGATATAAAAGAAATGAAGGGCGAGAAAGTTTTAGATACAAACATTCTATCTATTAAGGAGCAAGAAAACCAAAGTACAATTGGGGACCAAAATCAATTAGATATATCTAAGAATAAAGATTTATTAAAAGAAGAATTATTAGAATATAATACTCCAGCAGAAGAAACACACACTGGTGGTAAGAAATCAATTGATGACGTTAACGAACTAGATTTAAGTGTGAAAATTGTTGGTCCCAGCATGGAAAGTGAAGAAAAATGCTTAAAATCTGAAATGACAGAAGTATCTGTTAAATTAGATGATGCAAATATGCAAGAATCATCAGCTCCTAGGTCGACAGATGCCTGTATATTTGATGAAAGCAATAAAACTATGGATGAATCCATGCAGAAGCAAGACGATAAGAATTTCAAAACAGATGTACACAACAAGAAAGAATTGAAGACTGTAAATTTAAGTTTAACTCAAGAATCTATTAAAGAAAATGTTGATAAAAAAGAAGAAATGGAGGAAGAGAATAAGGACAACACAGAAGTGGTGCAAGATCTGAAATGCAAATTGAAAGACCAGAATTCTGATTTGTCTAAATTAGATACTAAACTCGAATCTCAAAAAAATGCAACTATGAAAATTGCACTAAAATCTTCAGAATGTCAAGAAAATTCAATTAACATTGCCAAAAACATTTTAAGTATTGACAATTTTGATATTGAAAGCAGCCCACTCAAATGCACAATCGTAGATAGCACTATATCAGAAATCATAGATTATAGTAAAGGCAAAGTTGATGACATAACAACACCTTTGGCAGCCAAACATACTAATCCTGACACAAAAAATACTCTTATTAATAAAGACGATAGTAATTCAGAACATGCTGCACATGAATATGAAAAATTAGATTCAGACACAGAATTTCCAGAAGCAAGTATATCTGATGAGGAGATAGTTCAAGAAGATCCATTAGCAGATCCTCTGGCTGGTACCATTGATGTTGTAGATGATACTTCAAAAGCTGACGAGGAAAATCAACAAGCCAGTTTAACTGGTAATTATATAATTGATATTTTATTATGGCATTACTTTTTTTATTAGAATATTATGCATGTTGTTTTTAATAATATAGATGTAATAATGGTATGAAATATATTACATGGTTTATTATTCACAAACATTTGTAATGCTTTTTAACCAGATCATAAATTATTGCAATGTTTTGTATTAACAAAAGCTGGTGTTTTAATTTTTTTATATGCAAATATTGGTGTAATCTGTAAAAAATGTTTTTCTGTGATTTTTCTATTTAAATTTTAGTTATGCCATAGAGTAAAAAACAATAAAAGATGGTATACTGTTCTTTTGTTTTATCTACTGCCAAATAAATTCTTGGCATTTTGTTTTCTAATCATTTCCTTTGGATACATAGTATTTATAAAAATTTTTGTTCATTATTGAATAATATATTTCTCATTAATTAGTGAAAAAATTGATAGTTTTTTTGTATATTAGTATACTTATCTATTTTCTATTAAATATCACATATTGCAATATTACATATATTAAGATTAAACTTTAAGACATGTATAATCTGCGCAAATGTAAATTATAATTTGTTTATATTACATTTAATTAATTATGATAATCATGAAGGCATTAAAAATGTAGGTTCCATCAGGGTTAGAAATATAAAAGATCTGAAAATTGAATCTGCCGCAAAACCTAATACTAGAAAACGAAGAATATCTGATAAAGTTGAGGATAGTGTAGAAAGTGTTGGAAATATTAGTTCTGATGAAGAGTGCGGTGGAAAACGTTTAAAAATGCGAGGAAGGAGAAGCAATGTTGCTAAAAGGTTTTTGAATTTTATAATTTTAATTACATTAGTTACAGTTACTTTATCATAAATTTTATATATAATATATTTAGGCAGGAATATGATAAAAAATGGATGAAAATTAATTAAGTTAAAAGTAAATTTAAGAAAATATTTATTTTGGGACAGACAGTTTCTTTTATTTCCTTAATATTATCAATATTTAATTATGTTGGATCTTAATTAGGTGTGTACCAAGGGGAGTTTCTATATCAATTTAGTCAATATTAATTATAGATATGAAATTTTATCACTTCTGAAATTCAGTCTTTATTTCCATATTTCAAATAATTAATGATACAGAACTTTTACTGTAAAGTATCATTGTGGGATTTAAATAAATAAATAAAGACAAATGATCCCAAATAATAATTATATTTTACTAACAAATCATGTTAATGATATTTTTCTTCATTAAGAAAAACCAATAATATGGTTCAAACCGATATTTATGATTTGTGTATTTTATTTAGGAAAGTTGCAGTACATAATAAAAGCAAACCACAAAAAGAGGCAAGTAGTAGTGATGAAGAAGAAGAAATAGACGCTAAAGCTAAACCTAATGAAAAGACAAAAACCACAGAAGATAATTCTAAAGGTTAATTTATATGATAATTAAATGTATATTTATTTTTCATTTTAATAATACAAATTTATTTATAGGGAAAAAGAATAAAGTGAAAAAACATGATGAATCTGAGAAGAAAGGTAAATTTATGCAATTAATTTGTATAGAACTTAATATTTAATATGTATAGAACATAATTTTTTTTTTTTTTATTTTAAGGCAACAAAACAGGAATAAATAAAAACATTGAACCTGATCGAAAACGTACAAAAAGTGAGTATCCTCAGCTACATATATAGATATTGTTTTCTTTTAATTATTCTACATTTTAAATATATACACTTCTATTGGTTGATTAAGAATATTACTGAATCATTGAATCAAATTTATTTTAATAAAGTATGCGTTCAGGTCATTTTTTCAGTGAAATTGTTATAATAGTTTCGACAAAATATAATATTGTTAAAAATAATATGTTAACTAGTGGGCGATCTCACCTCGTTTTTCGGCCTAGAGCAGGCAATATTTTACGTGATCATAAAAATATTTAGACTTAGATAATTTTATTTAATCTCTTAAAACTACAATATTAAATAAGAAATATTAATATCACTAATTACAAGAAATGTTTGAAAGTACATATGAGACGAATCTAGTATTTAAGTGTGTTTTTTTTTATCTAGAACAATTTATCAGCAATAAAAAGATCTGACTCATCTGTATAAAAATTTGAAAGTATTTGAATTTTTGAAATTTTTGAATTTAAGTATTTGAATTAATCAATATTCTAAAATAGAAATTTTATATTTTCTCGACGTTTAAGTCATTCTGAATGGAATGAAACCAAATTTGGAAAAAGTGTCTTTTGTCTACATTTTCCCAAAGACGGCTAGACTGTTTTCAAAAATTTAAAATTTATTAGACGTAGATGGATAAGTAATAGCCTCTGTCGGTTTTGTCAAATCAGCACCAATCGCCTGAGCCTTTTCTTAATAAATTGTAAAATCTTTCGTCCACATTTTAATCCACAATTTTTAATAGATTTTGAAACTTCAAAAACTGTTTGAAACATATTGATTGTGAATCGTGTTGATTACTTTTTGGTAAAGATTGCCCGGGCCGTCTCTTCGAAATTAAATGTTGATTTTTTTTTTGATTTTTATGAAACTTTGCATAACTATAGATTTTACTGTCTCAATTAATATATGTACTAAAATATTATGGGCCTAGAATTTTGCCGTGAGCTTAAGATTACAGTTGACGTCCACACTTAAATAAAATACATTTTTAGAACATGGAATAGATGTAATAAGATAGGCTAAACAAGTTAATTTATTTAATAAAATTATAGATATTATAAGTATGTTTAAAAGACGTCAATTAGAAATCATATTGATTATGTTTTAGTGAAAGCAAAAATGTTATTTTCGAAATAAATAGTTGCATATTTTTATCTAAATAGCTGAATCTCAATTCTTATTGATTCATTTGATTATGTATACGTTTTGTGAAGTTGCCTTATGGAAAAATGCTTCATACAATTAGTTTATTATTTATTTATTTATATGCATAGCTGTTTATGAGGCATAAATGACTGTTTAGTTCAATTTTTTATTTTTTTTTATTACAACTCCTGCCTTTAAGGTCTTTTCGAGATGAATCGTACGACTCCCGCCATTAATGTGTTAATAATATATTAATGATATATGTATTAAGTTTATTGTGTATTTATTATTATGTAAACATTACAGCTCGGCGTATTATGGGTTTAGTTGTTGATGAAGATGCAATCATTTCAAAACATGATGAATCTAATGTTAGGCAATCTAGAAGAATAGCTCAAATAAAAATAAAGGAAGAAGCTGAGCGAAGAAAGGTTGAAGAAATTACCTTAACACACCTAAAGCAGGAATCGCAGAAAAAACGCAAATCAAAGAATGATGATAAGGAATTCAAGGTATCTTACAAAATCAAATATACTAATAGCAGATTTTTTCCAATAAAAAAGTAATTGTCAAAAATATTTTTTTAATATTGCTGATGAGTAGCAATTGCCAATGATGAATTACAGTTTTATTTTACTTTTTATATTAGTTGTTTGGGTATCAAATTTCTGAGATAACACATTCTTGTTGTTATTTCTCTAGGTAGAGAAAAGAAAACGCAAACAGCAAGAGGAATCGAGTTCAGAAAGTGAACCAGAATCCCACTCTTGTGATGTGCGTCAAGATAAAAAAAAGAAACGCGGACGCAGAAGAAAACAAACCAGTAAACCTGCTTTTGATGAAACTAAACCATGGCAAAGTTCATCTGAAAGTAGTTCAGAAAAAGATGGTGAGGAAGATGATATCGAATTTGAACATTACCATTCAGAAGGTATGTATAGGAGAATTCACTCATGATCACAAATATAAAATGGAATTTTATTAATCGATATAATATTTTATATTATCATATAATAGAAATACATTATATATATATATATATATCAAATAGCTAATATATTCAGTAATTTAATAATTTTTTTTTTTTTTGGCTTTATTCTCTACAAATTGCCAATATCCCTCTAAAAGAGTCTTGTTTCCATAGACTTAGTTTGAAGCTATCAATACGAACGTTATAAAGTTTAAAAATTGATATTAAAGCAAAAATATATGTTACAAAGTTTGATACATTTTAGCTAACAAATTTAGTAGCTAATAAATGTAACTAATAAACTCATTGCAGTAAATTCAGAACATATTTTTATTTGAAATTTTAGCTTAGTATTCTAGTTACTTGTTCACTCATTTTTAATATATGTTTTAGATGATAATATTCCAGTAATAAAATCGGATCATGAGTTCTCACCTGAGAGTGATTTGGAAGGAGGAGAGTCTCAGCCTACGAGAAGAGCTAGAACTGCCAAAAAAGGTCAGTAACTTAAATTATGCTATTTGTATTATACATTACAAAAAATCTGATTTTTCTTTAGAATCTGAGGAAGCAGAGATTTGTGATGACCAACGTTGCCAGAAATGCGGCAAGTCTGATCAGCCAGAGTGGATATTATTATGTGATGAATGTGATCATGGATATCATTGCTCATGTCTCAAGCCTGTCTTGTTTATTATTCCTGAGGGAGATTGGTATTGCCCTCCTTGCCAACAGGTATTTAATAAAACTTCTCTGTGTTTAATAAAACTATCATCTATAAAAATGTATTCATGCATTATAATTTGGAATTATAAATATATGTATTATGTATGAGTTGCTTACTATTACGTATGTAAGTAGTAATATGACTGAGTTTAATTCTTTTGGTATGAGGAGTATTATGAATGAGTTTACTATTATTGCGTGAGCACTGTTATTTACAAGTTTACTATTATGTACATGGGTGATGATATGAACAAGTTTACTCTTATGTACCTGAGTAGTATTATAAATGAGAGTATTATTAACTTCCCGTAGGGTAAGTTATTGTAATGGGCCGAAAATCGAAATTGAAATTTTTTACATTTCTCGACGTTTTGAAGGTTTCTGAACATTTTGGCATACTTCAGAAAAAATGGATGTGTGTGTGTGTGTGTGTATGTATGTTATAATACATACAAATTTTCGCCCACGTTTTTGGGCGTACGGATCAACCGATTTGAATGGTTTAAAAAACATTCGATTCCTATTAATAAGGAGAAGAGCTGATTAGTTTTTGGCAAAGACAGGTCCAGCAGTTACGGAGATAAGGAGCAAAGAGTGCAGAAAATAGAAATCGAGTTTTTGAGAGAACGGAGCATCCGATTTGAATGATCTAATAAAAAACATTCAATTAGTAATGATTGGGAGAAGGGGTTATTAGTTTTTCGCAAAGGCAGGCCCAGCCATTTCGGAAATACAAAGCTAAATGTATAAAAAATGGCAGTTTTTGAGAGAACTAAGCGTCCGATTCAATTGATTCAAAGAACTTTCTGCTTGTCTTAACAAAATAATTGATTTTGGAAAAAAAATTGTACCATTTTTTTTTTTTTTTTTTTTTTTTTTAATTTTTTGTATATCGAAAATAATTCAGATTTTCTTTTTAATTCTGACTATAGTTCTAATATACTTTAAACAAATAATTTCAACTCTGCAATTCAGTTTATATAATTCTTATAAATATTAGACAATATTACAATATTTATAATAATCTATTTGAAAACATTCAATATTCCTCGAACATTTCGTTACGGTACGGGAAGTTCCAGCAATTTGCCTTAAGGCACGATGCCACCCACTCCACTAGTTATGTATGAGTTTACATGTAATATGAATGTATTTACTTCTATTTACTCCGTTATCTTGAAAAAATACACTGCTGTAGTAAAATTGCATCTATTAATTCAACTCAAATCGAAACTTATTATGTACATTATACACTTGTATTTACAGAAAAGGTTGATAATAAATCTACAAATGCAATTAGTTGAATTTGATAAACTTATGAAAAGGAAAGAAGAAGAAGATTTGAGAAAAGAGCGATTAGCGATTGCAGGAGTTAACGAAGAAAATAGTATGGATAATGAAGGGAATCCAAAACATAGTAAAGAAGATGAAAGTGAATCCAGTTCATCAGGTTTGTTATTGTATATATTTTTATTATTAGTGATGTGTGTGTTAGAGACAACTTTTGACCTTTTATAGACATTTATTGGTCTGCATCGATTCTAAAAGTTTAAAAGCTATATGATGTAACATATGATAAGAACTCACTCCGATTTGGAATTAGTACAATAATTTTCATTCACCTTCTCTTAAAAATCTTCAATTTAGGTATCAAGCTGAGTAGTTTTTATATGTATGTATAAAGAAAAATTTCTTGGCGATGAAACATAACACTACGATAATTTGTGGTGCTGACGAACATCCTAAAATACTGTAGTCCTACAGTAGTAGGATTTATAATATAATAGAAATGTGGTATATTTAAAAAAAAAATGGACCGCGCTCTTGCACGATAATTAATACAATTACAAATATTATACGCATTTTTGAAAGATATCAATTGGAAATCGCATTGTTTTTAGCGAAAACGAAAGATTTATTTTTGAAATAAACAGTTGAAAATGCTATCAAATAGCTAAATTTGCAATGAATATTGAATTACAATAATATAGTAAAATGCCATTTACATCTAGCTTTACTACATTATTGCACTAGTAATCAGCGCTGTAATTGATATTAAATTATTTATTCCCAGAAGAAACGAGCAGTTCAGGTTCTACTGACAGCGAAGAAGATGAATCAGGTTACAAACTACGAGAAAGACGAGCCGCTAATGTTTGCTACCGTTTTAATGATTATGATGATCTTATTAATAAAGCAATTAAGGTACAGCAATTATATTTTCGCATTAGTATCATTAACTTTTATCTATGAAATAATTATACTGAGTTCCCAGAATAATTAGCTTTATGATCTTTTGTTTTCTTTTTTTTGTTTTGCACATGTTTTTTGCCAAGCCAACTTGAAGTTATAATTAGTATAGTCATATTAGCCTCTAAATGTTTGACTTTGTTATTTTTACAAATTATGATTTCTTTTAATTGTTGATTGTTCTTGAAGTAAATTACTTTTTATTTGTAGCAATCCGAATACAATACTTTTTTACATTATCTAAGAAGATAATTTAAACAGATTTCAATAATTTAAAATTATAATATTTTATTTTTACTGTTCTGGTAAAAAAAAAGTTGTAATATAGTTCTGGAAACAGATTAGCGAGTTCATTTTTTATAAATAATAGTTAAATATATAATTTTTTTTAATATGTTCTTTTTAATGCTTTCGAACAAAATGTGTAGTAAAGATAGGTAGTAATGATTCTTCTAGTGACAAATTATATTAAAATTTTCTTATAAAGTCCTTCTTATAAAACTTTGTCATAATTCATATTTTCAAATATTTTAAATATATTAGGATGAAATGGATGTTGCAAAAGAATCAGCTGGCAATATGGGTCGGGGTAAAGATATTTCAACTATAATCGAGGCTGAAAATGAAAAGAAAGCAGACAATGAAGTAAAAGAAGAATCTATACAAAAAGATGAAGAGAAACAGGTTATTATTAAATGTTTTTTATAGAACAAATTTGAATGAAAATAAACACATTTATATATATATATATATATATATATATATATACTAAATATTTGCTTTTTTTTAAGATTATTGAAAAAGAGGCAAAAACTATTGAATCTGGTTCAGAATATGATGAAAAGAGTGAATGCAAAGATAAAACGCAATCTGATGATAGTTCAAGTAATAGTGATTCAGAGAGACTAAATCAATTACAAGTATTGTCAAAGAGAAAAAAGCAAAGAAAATTAAATGCTCTAGATGTGAGTTCTGAGGAAGATCATGTTTCTGATGAGGATTTCAAAGGATCAAGGTATGTCATGATATATTTTCAAAAGTTTAATATCAATATTTATATGGATATAAAGTAATAATTTTAAACGAATTTTATTATTTGAATAAATATTAACTTTATAATTTACAGTGCTGATTCTGAAGATGAAGACTTAGAAAGTAATAGTGACTTTTCTGATAGTGAATTGGATCTCCCACGAAAGAAAGGAGCCACAAGACGTTCAACCAGGGCAAGGATGACCAGATTCGATAAAGCATTTAGTGAGTGTATGATAGAGAACTAGCTTGTCTTATTGTCTGATCAACAAAAATATAGTTATAGTAATATAGCTTCTATGAAATTTAATGTTTTGATTTTTATTTCATTAATGCAATGTAAAATATTTTTTAAATGGCAAAAAATATTTTTATGTTAAGATTCCATATATATGAAATTCTAAAATACATTTACTTTTAGTTAATGATTCAGATGATAGTTCTGATGCACCTAAAAGAAAGAAGAAATATAAAAGTATATTGAGTGATGAGGATGAGGAAAGTATGAGTTCTTCATCAGAGGATAGCACAACCGGTTGGAAAAGTGGACACAAGCGCGGCTACAAAAAGTCCAAAGCACCTGTGAGAAAGATGCCTAAATTTCCAACAGTAAATAAAAGGTAAAAGTATAAAGATGATATTTATAATAATGTTAGATTGTAATTTAAAATTAAATTATGTTTAAATGACAGATTGTCCAACTTTACACTTTTTATTTTTTATAGTGAATCTGCTCCTGCTGTTAATAAAAAGCCAAAGAAGAAAAGAACTTCTGAAATATCAGATCTATCGTTCAGAAGTGGTGGTCTAAAAAAATCTAATGACTTAGATGAGCCAATGGAAGGACGAAGGACGAGAGGAAGGAAAATTAATTATGTGGAAGCCCTTGCATCTGATTCTGATGAAGTATGTACTTGCCAATTAATGGAATATTGTAGTTTCATAGTAATTTGCTTGAGTGAATCTTTATTATTATGACAAGAATAGTCAATTCTTATTGTGAATATTGTTATTTTTTTTATCATATAATCATTGTTTTAAATTTGTTTATATTTGTTTCATGCTTGTATATTGTTATTAGGATAAGAAAAAAAAGAAAAAGACAACTGTGAAGAAAATTGTTAGTGAAGATGAATATGTTCCTGTTGAAGAAGACAATGTGGCAACTAATCCCAATACTAAAGAATTTGATATTGAGGGACAAGATAAAATTGATACTGCATTTATCAAGAATGAAAATATACCTAAAAGTGATTTACTTATAAATGCTCTGACAAAAACTCCACAAACAGTTGCACAAGGTACAAATTTAATAGATGGATAAAACATACATGACAACTGTACAAACATACACACATATTTGAATATATTTATAACATATTTATTTCAAATATCTTATATTTCATTATTATATTTCAACTTCTTAAAACATGAATATATTAGAATCAGTGAAGCAATTTATTTCATGTATATACTTTCAGTTTTGAGCTTTGTTTCAGATCATTTTGAAACATAATTTATAATTAAGAAGTCTTTTTATAAGTATAATAATTTTTATGTAAACAGTTTTGAATAAATATTTAATATTGTTGCAGTTGACAGACATGTTGCTGCACTTGATGAAAGAGAAAACCTAAAGAAAGATGCTGATATATTAAATTCCATCACAATGGCAGACAGCAGTCATGGAAAGCCTTCAACTTTAACACTAAGCAAATTACATGAAAAAGTGACGAGCAATAAAAATTTCAATACTCATATCGGCGGTAAAACTCGTGAGTTCAACAAGATTTATATTTTTTAAATTTATTAAGTAGCATCTATTAATTTATTATAAATTAATTTATTGTAAAAGTATTGAATTCCTTTTATTTTAATTATTTTTAAATTAATTTTAATATTAAATACTAGACTAAAAAAATCAAATCAAATCAAAACCAATGATTTTTATATTCACTTATAAAAATGAATTATATAATTAATTAATTATATATTAATTAATATAATTATAATTATTATATATGCATGTAAATTTTATTGTGAATTTAAGCACTTGTTGTTCGAAACCCTAATTTATTGGATGATAGAAGTTCTTTGCCGAAAGTCGCCAGAGTAGATACATCATTTGAGGAAAGTGGTGATTGCATTGATGAAGAAGAAGAAGAATCAATTGATGAGGAAGAAGAGGAATTTGATGAAGAAGATATTCATGAGGTAAGACAATATTAGTGACTTGTGAAAAACCATGATATTTTATGTTACTTATGTTTTTTTTCTAATCGGTCGAAAAAATTTTAGTCAATATTATCAGAAAGAATTGAGTCCTGAACACTTGTGATAGAATTCAAATTTAATTCAATGTAATTATTTGACTATGGAAAGAAACTTACAATTCATTTTCATAAAAATATGTGCAGATTTATTTTTACTTTCAGAATTTGAATAATTTCAACACAAAATGATTGTATCAATACATTATATATAAGTCTAAGCACAATGATCTATCTATAACTTATCATATATTTCCAATAATAATGATAATTATTGATAATGGTTTTATACACTTACATTTTTTCAGGAGAATGAGTATATGGATTCCAATAAATCAAAAATTGAAGAATCCGAAGATGTTATTGCACAAAGAATGATGGAAGATCCAGATTTTGCTGCAATGCGTTTGCAACAGGTTGGGGTTCAGATTGCAAAAGATAAGAAGAAAAAAGCAGCTGAAGAGAAGAAAATGCTAAAAGAACAGAGGAAACTGGAGAGGATAAGAAAGAGGGATGAAAAAGCTAAAATTAAGGTCAGTTGTAAAAAATATTATAATGAATTTTAAAAAAATCTAAGATTTTTTATTCTATAGTAAATATTGTTATATAGTATAGAAAAAAAACTTGTCTTTACAAATTATCGGCGTAAATTGGATTTTTTTTACGCATGCCTACTTAAAATACATATAAAAATTACTTATTCTATTTTTATTACTTACTATTATTACTATTACTATTTGACGTTCACCGATCAGAAACTTCGAGTTTCGAGTGACGCGATGATCTTTTTTATCAAAGTTATCTTTATTGCACATTTTATACAAAGGATCTTTGTTTAAAACTAATTAATTCGGATAAGCCTAATTTTTTTCTATAGAACGTACGCGCTCGAATATTAAGTATCAAATTAGTTATCTTTTGTATTAGTTTCTTCACATTTATTTATGGGGCTATTATACTGGGAAGTTTGATTTTCATAGATTTTACTATGATTTTATTTTATTAGGGTTTTGCTCAATTCTTAAAACGTTTTAGAGCGAATCCGTGTTATGCGGGGGTTACCTGTAGCTATATATACAAACTTGATTGTATTTGCTTTGATTCAATCTTTTCATTCAATTATTTTTTTATATATATCCAGGAGGAAAGAGCAAAAGAGAGAGAAGAAAAGAAGCTTGCAAAGCAAGCTGCTTTAGCTGCCCTTGCAGCTTCACCTGTTGAGCGGAAGAAGCCAGGACGTAAGCCCAAGGCTCTTACTGTTGCTTCACAGAATCAGCAAATATCCGATTCGGGAGAATTACATTTATCAGTTTCCGGTAAATTAATATCAGATTCAATATAAGTTGAAAGCCAATTGAATATTTTTTGCAAAGATTTTTGCCTTTTGAGTCATATTAGTTTTTCTTATTGTTAAGATAACATACAAAAATAAGGATCTGTACTCATGTCTTCAACGTCGCTTTTGCAAATCATGATGTTATTATAATCCTAATTGAAGTATTTTGGTTTGTGATTTTTTTTACTGAAATATTCATAAACAACTTTTAAAATTTATACATAACACTTTAATATTAACTACAAATATTTTGCTAACATTATGTGCTTATGCGTTTAACCATACAATCTTATAAGTTAATCATGGTATTAGTCTTTTTTGCAATTTGAAATAATATTGTAACAACATCAAATATTTAATAATATGAAATTTTATTTAAATTTTTGTTTTATAGAAAAGCAAGTGAATGCACCATCTTCAAGTATTTTGTCAAATAGATTGAATCCAAATATTCCCATTCAAAGTCAAGCTGCAGGTACTGGCTTCAATTTGGGCAGTATATCAGTGACACCAATTAAAACATTGAGTGCAGTTCAAAATCAACCTGCAACAAGTGACAATGTAAAAGTTTTATCTCCTATGATGTCAAACCCAAGTTCGCCTTGCACAAGTAGCAGCATGTCCAATACATCTACACCTGGTGTGGTATGTCACTTATAGTAAATATTTTCTGCTATACATCATAATTGTAGTTATAACTTGTTGGAGAAAAATTTGTAAATATGTGTGAATTTGCTATAAGTAATAAGGATAGTATAAACTTCTGACATAATATGAAGAATTCAATTAATGATAGGCTTCAGAATAAAATACTGGAAAAATAAAATATGCACAGAATTGTATCTTTGTGATAATGTTTTTTTTAAGTTATTGATTCACATAATTCCGATATAAAGGTTTATATTTTACAATATATTATATATTTGTTTACACGACTGATTTATTATTATTTATTTATTGTAATAGCATCTGACAAAGCATATTGCCAATAGTATTTAAAATTAATGATGTTATATTTTAGGTTAGTGGTACATCTCCTGTGCCAAATCCACAAAATTTCAGTTTAGCTAATTTGCGCCCACAGAATATGAATGTTCCACATGCAGGACAACACCTTATGACGAGCCAAAGCACGAACGTTAGGCATCCCTTGACCCCACAAACCAATGCTGGATTTATGGGTAATTAATTATCAAATATTTATTGATACTTATTTTTCGAACATCAGGAATAACTTATATGTTTATTTTTGAAAGGTATGGGAATGCCTGGTTTACAAAATATTCCAACAACACCAAAACGAAGGGGTAGAGGTCGCGGCAAGAAAGCTGCGGCGGCTGCGGAAGCAGCAGCAAATCAGTTGGTTGGTAGAAGCGGTAACAAACATGACGAAAAAGGTTTGAATGTATAAATATTTTTTGTTGATAATATTATGTTTACTAATATCTAAACAAATGTATCATTTTGAAGATTCAGAGACATTATTAAATTGAATGTATTATATAGTTTGAAAATTTTATAGTGTTTATTTTTTGAAATTGGAACTTTTTGGTTTAGATAAAAAATAAAATTGTAAGGTTTTATCACAAACAGCTTTAAAATAAAATAAAATTGACTTCAATGGTATTTTTAATTGCTTATATGTTTTCTTGTTTTTAATTAATTTTAAAAATATTTAATTATTTAGGTGTCACCAATTTGAGCATAGCAGCACCACCTCAACCATTTTCTGCATCTCAACCTTCACCATCGGTCATCACACGTATGCTGCATAATCCAGGTGGAAATCCTCCAGTGTCTATTAATCCAACTGCTCCAGTCACTTGTGATTCCAATATGCCTACTGGATCTGTGGGATTGACCACCTCCCCTTCCAGCTTTCAAGGAAAATATTACCCGCATTCTGAAAATTATTTACAAAGGCCTAGGGGACCAATGGGAGCAGCTATGGGAATTTATAGGTGATGTTCATATCTTTGTTGGTATTCTGAATTTACTTTTAAGTGCAGCTTGATAGTTAAATTTGTGGCAAATATTTTATGTCAAAAATTTATATCAAATCAATTATAATATTGTTCATATAGTTTTTACTGTAAAATGTACGCCAAAAACCTTTTTAAATAATTTTGTTAGAATCTAGTTTCAGAACACTCAATATCAATCTTACCGAAATTACCATCAAAGATAATTATATTTTTTAGCTTAACTTAATATTTTCATTTCAGACCTGCAGGCCCTATGGGCAATTATCCACCACGTGGTATGTATCATTCTCCTCATCATCCATTAGACCCCTCACCTTCTGGTGGAGGACCTATCAATGTGCAGCCAAATATTCTCCCGACGTCAGCGCCTGGACAAATTGGAGCTCCACCACCTTTGAGACCTGGTACTCCCCCCAAAGCGCGTATGCCCTATGAATACATGCATCCAGCATCAGGGCCCAGGCATTCTCAATTTTCTCAAAATCCACCTTATGGCTATCAAGGGCAACCATCTCAAGCATACATGCAACCGGCATATCAGTATGAACCAGGATCTCAACCACCACCATCATTACATCAGCCTCCTCATTCAGTTGCACAACCAGTGCATGTAATACCAGGGTCAGTTATAGATGATCAACAATATAATAATCCTGATTCAGAACCTGCACGAAGTTCTTCATTTGAGCCAGAAGGAGAACAAGATGAGGAATCAGGAGAATTTGGTGGATTGGTTAGTTACTTCTCAAGCCAGCGGGAAGATGACCTAGAAACATAATTTGATACTTATGTAATAATTGTTTATATATAATTTTTCATTTAGACATTTTAAGATGAATGTTGATTATTGCAAGGTAACATAATTGAGAACCTGATATGGTTTAAAGTACAGACTAATATGAAAATTAGAAGCCAGGAAATAATTACCAACAACGTACATGAGAAAATGGTTAATAACGTGATTATATGTAAGCAAATGTTTAATTTTTATGATATTCGAAAAGATTTATTTAGCATTTTAATTAAAAAATTTTAATCAGTAACCAAAGTTTTAGTATTATTAGCTATCATTATTTTGCTATGTGCGACTTAATTTATATATATAAACTCATAAAAATATATGCATTAATATAAGTTTTATGGCATTATGTTGAAGTTATAACTGATTCATTAATTGCTATGACGTCAATGTTCTTTCCGAATCATTAAGATTTCAATTATATTGAATTGAATAATTTATAATCAGCTTGTGAGAGAGAGACATTGGAATTATCTAACAGATATTTTAAAATAACTCATAAATGTTTAATCAATCATTATTATTTCATAATTTTATTTAGGTAACAAAATTACTTAGTAAATTCTTATAGTGTTGATTTTAATAAAATATATGTATAAATGAATTGATTGTGATTTGTATATAAAATGATTGATATAGGGAATTTTAAATTTTTATTTTTATATTAGTATTAAGCGAGAGTGATATTAAATGTAATTTGTTTTGTGAATAAAGTCTGACTCTATAATGTATGCAAAGTTTGCCAATATTTTATTCTAAATTAATTTAAATGCACAAATTTTAAACGAATTTAATATGTACTTATCATTTTACAAAATATTAATAGAAGTTTAAGACTATATTATTGTGCACATGTGCTAAAGGATAATTATAATAGTTATCATTAATTTCATAAACTATATAAATAGCATAAATAATCTATAATAAATTATTAATAAATATATGTTTCATATTATATAAGGTGACTGGAAAACAAAATAAAAATATAAATTCTTGTAAACATGATTTAGAATATATAAATCTAAACAATTGTATACAAACTTTAGTAGAATAAATAACAGTATTTACTTATATTTTTTTATTGAAATATCTAATATCAAATTGTTCATTGTGACATGGTTATTTGTGGAATTTCAAGTGGCCGCATGTTGGTGGCCAAAAATGTTTTATGTTTTCTCGACGTTCCAAGTAATTCTGAATCATTCACATATTCAAAAATATGTGTGATGTATATGAGACTTAAAATTTGACCTTTTATCAAGAGCTGCACCGATTTCGAAATTTAAAAGCTTTTTCATGAAAATTTATATATGAATTTTGAATGACACTAATCAATGCAAGTCATTATAATGACTTGCGTTGATTAGTTTCACCCCAAGACGTTCCTTGTAGTATTAGTAGATACGTGAATTTTATTTTTGTTAAAAGCCATGGGTCAATTTTGAAGATTGAAATACTCTTGTGAAACATATATCAGCTGATAATCGTGCTGATTATAATTTTTAGTAAAGATCATCCGAGCAGCTTCTTCTTAATAAATTGTTTAAATACTGAATAATGATAAAAGTTCAAGGTGTAAAAGCTTTACATTAGACCTAGGTCTAATATCGATCATAGTAAAATATTATAGCCCAGTAAACCACAAAACGTAACAAAGCCATGAACGTTACGTAACGCCGGCACGTCCGCACGCACCAGGTACGTAACCTGGGAGGCACACAGAAGCATCTATTTCGCGGGCAAGAACGTAACGGCTGTTTCGTTGCACACTAATACACCGCGGTTACATTTTTGCTACGTATCTAAATTGAATAAAAAAGCGTGTAGGTGTCTTTTATGTTACATACTTATTTAATTAAATTTCCTGCAAATATAGAATATTAATAATAATTTCGGATATTTAGTAATTTTATTAAATATTATCATTTACAATATACAAAATTTACATTTTACATAGTTAACATTAGAAAACTAAAATTTGATAGTCCATAAAATGTTAGCCTATAAAAATAATTATTTATTTATTCATAATATGTATTATGTTTAACTCTCTTGGCAACTTCAGTTAAATCAGACTTGGCAAAGTTAAGTCTTGCGTTAAATATGTTCAACTCACTTGCATCTGTTAATGTATCTAAAATAGAACCAAACATCTTAGAAACATTGTACACAAATTTTGAATTGAAAACATTGTGAACAAATTAGTCATTTGTGAACATTACCTCTAAACATACTCATTATTTGAAGTTAATGACTATGTAGTTCCTACGATCATATGACAGAGATAATTATTCCATGAACACACACTCAATTTTCTTGCATTGATTTTATCCTATTAATTTTCAAGATCTGAATTACCTAAAAGTAAAACACTACAAATTAGTACTGAATCATATTAGTTAAAATTCTCTTCATGTAGAACCTTAATATACCAATTCTGTAATGCAAGATCATCAGACTCGAAATACTCAACAATTCATGTTCTCTTCAACACTTAATCCATATAATGTGTGATATCCAGTGCATTCTTTGTTTTCCTTCTTGCATGTTTCTTTGGTGACAATTTATCTTCTTGATTAGAGTAATTTTCCCTAGTTTGAATTCCATTTTGACATAACCCATAGGGGTTATGAGCACTCTTTCTCTACAATTGAAAAGCAATTTATATCAGTTTTTGCTTAACTGAATAGTTCTGATACTAATGAAATTATAAAGAATATGTATGATACCATATATATTACACTTATCTACCTCTAATATTCATATCATATCACTGAGGTTATGTGATTTTTGACTGGTCTGTCAGAAATTTCAATAATTATGTGAAAAATCAATTATCACAATACATAAACAGAATTTGCATTGCACATGACCTATATACTGAAAATAACTAATTAGTCATTAATATAATAATTTGTAAATTAAAAAAAAACAGTGCAATTATACTCACTTTTCCTGGTTTCGTATTAAATATGTGAATTTCCTAAAAGTAAAACATTACAAATTAGTATTAAATCATATTAGTTAAAATTCTCTTTGTGTAAAACATTAATATAACTGATCTGTAATACAATATCATCACTTAAGAAATACTCCACAATTCATTTTCTTCTCAACACTTAATCTTAATATGTGTTCTTATTTATCGATATGTGTTCTTATTTTTGTTTTTTTTTTGGTGACAAAGGATTAATAATTTCTAATATATTATCTAACTTTGTATTTATCTTCTCTATTGGAGAAAATTTCCCTAGCTTGAAATCCATTTTCGTAGGGGTTATCAGCACTATAATTTTCTCTACAATTGAAAACCAACTTATATCAATTTGTGCTTAACTAAATAGTTCTGATACTAATGGAACTATAAAAAATGAATATGTATAAAACTATATAACTTACTTCTCTTTATTCATATATCACTGAATTGAGGTTATGTTTCTGACTGGTGTGTTAGAAATTTCAATTATTACATGACAAATCAATTATCACAATACATGAACAGACTTTGCATTGAAGGCGGCCTATATACTGCAAAGGACTAAACATTATTATAATAATTTATAAATTAAAATATATTTCAGTACAATTAGACTCACCTTGTTTGCCGGTTTCATATTAAATACTTTTCCAGCTGACTGTTTAACTAATTTCTACAACTGATTTCGCACTAAATATAAAAGCAATTAATAAATAACGCTTCAATAAAGGAAATATCTTGCATTTCAAACATACACGATAATATACTCAATTATGCGTCCACGATGCACTGACCGAGTTAACCTATATTTAATTTAACATTTCGATCATAAAACACTTCACGGCTATGTTCAAAGGCAAATGTATGTGACCGTGCAACGTACCACGCCACGTACCGACAGATACGAACAAAGCAGTATTATAAACGTTTAAACGCGTCGACGGTGGTTAAAGCTCGCAACTATACGTAACAGCATCGGTTCGTTTACTTAACATCAGTTTCGAAACGAAAGTTACAAAATGTGTTACTTGGTGGTAACTTCTGTGGTTTACTGGGAGGCTTATAAAATATATTATAGGCTTATTAAAAATACTTTAGAAACCTAATTTGAATGTTTCTTAATAAATTTAAACAAAAGAAAATCACTGTTGTAAAATGTAAAAAATTATTATTAACTTCCTGTAGGGTAGTTGGGCCGAAAATCGAAAATGAAAATTTTTGCATATCTTCACATTTTTAAGGTTTCTCAACATATTGGCATACCTCAGAAAAAATGGATGTGTGTGTGTGTTTTGTATGCCCGCATTTTTTCTTCCACGTTTTTGGGCGCATGGATCAACCGATTTGATTGGTTCCAATAACATTCGATTCCTATTGATAGGAAGATGTGCTGATTAGTTTTTGGCAAAGGCAGGTCCAGCCGTTACGGAGATACGGAGCAAAGAGTGCAGAAAATACAAATCGAGTTTTTGAAAGAACGGAGTATCAATTTTGAATGATCTAAAAAACATTCAATTTGTAATGATTCGAAGAAGAGGTGATTTGTTTTTGGCAAATGCAGGTCCAGCTATTTCGAAGATACAAAGCTGAATGTGCAAAAAATGGCAGTTTTTGAGAGAACTAAGCGTCCGATTGGAATAATTTGGAAAAAAAATTCAACATTTTTTTTTATTTATTTATTTTTTTTTTAATTTTTTGTATATTGAAAAAAATCAGATTTTAATTTTAATTCTGGCTAAAGTTCTAAAGCTCACTTAATAGGCTTAAATAAATAATCTTAAGTTTGTTAATATAATTTTTTTAAATCTTAAACAATTTTACAGTATTTTATTCGAAAACATTTAATATATTCCTCGAACATTTCGTTACGGTACGGGAAGTTCCAGCAATTTGCCTTAAGGCACGATGCCATATACCACTAGTAAATATTTTGACCAGGACCAGATCCATAGATAAGTAAACATAACCAGATCAATAGCAGGGGCGCCACTGGACGGAAATCTGTCAAATGACATATTTTGGTATTCTAAAATGTCACTTTTAATAACTAAGTTAAAGAGCTTATTTTTAATTATATTATCGGCGTTCAAACGTGCTTTATGTTGTTTTAGAAAAAGAAGACGAAATTCTCATTGTGAATCAGAAATATTAACAACAATTGGAATAGTTCCTGCTTATTCAAATACATCAGACTCAAAAACTGTAAGGTTATGTTTGTTTTCATTTTCATATTTTAATTCGACATTAAAATTAGTAAATAATAGTATAATTAAGCAATTATAACTTATCAAAGATTCAATTCGTTCCATCATACATAATACTACTGATGATTAGTTAAAAACAGCACAAATATGTCATTTATATATTTGTAGGTTATTTTTTTATTTATGCTTATTTTAACTTTTTATGTATGCCCTTTAATATTTTATAAAAATATGTGTCAATATGTTTTATAATATCAGAAACCAGATGAGCAAAGTTGGAATTCATGGGATGACAAACCAGTAACTATACAAGATCATATCGACAGATACAGACAACAGAGAAATGTTATTAAAGAAGTTGCATCAGAAACCATTCCAGATTATTTTCAGGTTATAAAGACATTTATAGAATATGCTTATTATGTGGTTAAAACCTCTTGTTAAGATAACATAGATTTTTCTTCAAATATTTCACATATTCAATCTTGAATCGATATAGAATAAAAATAGTTTAATATTTAATTAACCAATTAAGAGTCGGTTATTTTTAAGGAAAATGGTAAAAAGTTGTTACTTTTATTTTCATTTAACTACATTTTTTAATTTTATTAATCAATAACAAAAAAATACCTAATATGCAGTTTTAGTATAATTTTTTTTAAAATATTCAAAATACAGTCCTAAATCGATTTCTGCAAAGTAATATTTTGTTAAGTATTCAATTTTTTTACTTTTATTTTTTTTTAAATAAGTTAGGAACATATTTTGCATTAATTATAATATTAATTAATCAAATAAGTTGTCTGCTTAACTATAATAAATATTTTTTATTTTTTTTATTTGAATTTTAATATAAATTTTATACATCTCAGACAGATGGAAGTGCCTGGTATGAGAGATCGTACAAAATATCTATACAAAGTACGAGGTCTGTTCAAAAAGTACCCGGAATTTTCGTTTTTTCAAAAAAATATTTATTTATTCGTCTACATTAATGTGGTCCCCTTCAATGTAGTCCCCCCCAGATATAATACACTTATGCCAGCGTTTTTTCCAATTTTCGAAGCACCCTTGATATTCACTTTTTGATATGTCCTTGAGCACTCTCAGCGATTTTCTTCAATCGAGGAAAACCGCCGTCCTTTCATGGGTCTCTTCAACTTTGGGAATAGGAAAAAGTCACACGGAGCCATATCTGGTGAATTTTTGCACTTTGCAACACTTTATTTCATTTTTTACGCAAAATTTAATACAAATTCTTTGACTTTTCAATTCTTCCATTGTAAAAATCGCCGAGCTCAGAAAAACACGTCGAACCTTAGCGACTACCACAGACAAAGTAAACAGTGAATATAGCTGAAAATTTCATCATACTTTAGGGGCATGTATACCAACACAATAAAAAAAAAAATTTTGACAATCAGACACTCCAGACCCGCGAAATTTAATTATTAGTAATTCCGGGTACTTTTTGAACACACCTCGTATATATATATATATATATATATATATATATGTATATATATATATATATATATATGTATATGTATATGTATTTTCTACATATGATATGATCATTACAACATTTTATACCATTTATTCTATAATTCAATAATACCTACATTCATTTTTACATTCATGCTTTGGTCTAATTTATTTACCTACATTTTTTTATAATATTTATTTAACTTAATTTTAAATTGATTCTCTCCTTTGATCATCTTTATTTCTTTTGGAAGCCCATTGAATAATTTTATAGCACTCCATATAGAGTTCCGCCTGGTTTATTTGTTTCTGTTTGTTGTAGATGATAATTTTTTTTTACTTTTATTTTATTTTAAATAAGTTAGCAACATATTTTGCATTGAAATTATATTATTAATTAATCTCATAAGTTGTCTGCTTAACTATAATTAATATTTTATGTTTATTATGTATGTAATTGTATTTTGCTCGTGTATTTATTTATTTCTAGTTATTTGCACTTTTCTATTTTTATAATTCAATTTAATGGTAGGTTATCTGTTACATATTGAACTTCTTTAGTAGGTGTGAAATAGGGTAGATTATAGGTTATTTTTGTTATTTTATTTATTATTCTCTGAATACTTTCTATATTTTGTTTGTTTGCTTAACTATAATTAATCTAACTTAATTGTAAATCACATTTTGAGTCGCTCTGTTTTCTATAGAATATCATAAAGTTTGAGAACACACAGAAACATCTGCCTTTTTAGCTTGCCACTATTTCTTTTTTTAGTTTATTTTTTCAAGTAAATTGTTATAGTACATATAAATAAATAGCTATATCACAAATTAATGTTAGGATGTGCATATGAACTGCTACGAACCCTGTATAGTAATAAATACACTCCTAGCATTTTAATTTAATTGTATTTAAATTTTGTAAGTTGAAGCTTTTGTACTATATTGACATGCAATATTAAATTACTGAAATATTCTTCGAATTTTCGGGAAAGTTATAATTCGATGTGACGACTGCAAGGACAAAAGTAATCCCCGAAATGGTGAAAGTAATCTCAAGTGGTTAATGCAATATATTATCTAAAGTTGACTACAAAAGAAACATTTTAGATATAACTTACTATTAACTTTTTAAGCCATGATTTTGTTATTTTTCTTTGCTTTTATTTAAACAAATAAAATTCAATAGATTTTTCAAAATATGAATATTTTAGGATATGACTCCTAGACTCACTCGACAGCCTAAGGTGTTAATAGAAACTCAAAATAATTCTGAAACAAATCAAGTATCTCGTCTTGCAGTTTCTTGTGATATTCCAATAACGGTGAGCATTATTAATTATAACCAAACATATTATTATTTATACATTTCCAAAATACGCAATTGTGCATTTTCCAAGAAGAATATTTAAGCTGGAGATGATAAAAATAGACATTTAAAATTTCTGCAGTCTTTGTTAATACATATTTGTTCAATTGCAAATCTGCTATTATCAGATTGTGCACTTTTGTTACATTAGCATACAGGTGCAGTTTGAAAACCAATGTGCCAGCACGTTGAAACTAACTCACAATCAAATTGTAAAGCTATCAAATTAAAATTACAAATCCAATGCTATAATTTTGGAAGTATTCATGTATGAAAAGACACTATGCAATAGCTTATATAAAACTATTTATCAAATTGTTAATTTTATTATCCTAATTAGTTTTATTGTTTAATATAAATCTAAAGACTGATCTGGAAACTTGGGATGATAATCAAAATGGATGGGAGGATGATAGTGAGAATGCAATGGAACTTTTACGTGAGAAAAGAAGACATGAAAGACGTGAACAATTAGAAAAAGGGCAACAAAGAAAATATGATCATGGGGCAGTAATCACTTCCAAAAGAAGTGGAGCTTAATATAACATATGTTTGATTTTAATATAATTAATTATCAGTACACATAAAATATAATATATATTTATATATTTGTAGAATGATTGCATTTTATAATTATTAAGAAGTATGTTTTTGTGTGATAGTAACATTCTAAATGTTTGATCATTAAGACTTTATTTTAAATTTGTATATATATACTTGTGCATATCTTTTTCATTAAGCCTACCATTCCTTTTTTCATTCTTAGAAATGAAATATCGTTCGATTTTAACCGTTCTTCAATTTTGTATGATGAATAATTTCGAAATTGAAGAAAATAGTATTTTAGTTTGAGTATATTTACTCATTACTATTTACTCTACCTTCTATGGTTGTTATTAATATTATTAAAAATAATTTATTATTCCATTTATGAACCTATTATCAAATACATTACGATTTCTAACAAACTTATCTTTCTTGTATCATGTTCCCATTTTCCTTGAATATCGAACATTATCTAATACTGTATTTTTTCAGCAATGTGATAATTTAATTACATATATAATGCGTTTTGAAAAAACACATGTCCATGACGTTTGTTATTTCAATGTTTAAATGAAGCAAATGAGTCGATTTGATACCTCTTAGATAAAGGGTTTAAAGTGTATTTTGGTTGCCTTTTAATAGGGTCGGATAATAGTTGGATATTTAATGTGCTTGAATAATACTTTGTAAAAATTTTCATAGGATTATCTTAAAATTTTAATATGATTGATATTTACAGTGGTATAGGGAACTTATCCTAGAAAATGAAGTAAATGTTGAAAGCGCGAACACTATTGAATATTGAAAATATATTTTCCGACAAGAAATAATACAAATAGATCGAACGAATAGTTTTCGTTTCACAATTATTTTTTGACCATTATTGTACTCAAGTCTAATTTATATGTATATACTTAGTTATACTGAGTCCAAGGAAGGAAATCTTTTGTAAAAAGCGAAAGATTTATTTGCTCTGAAGGGTAACCAGAGTTATATACTGAATCTACAAATAATTTTTAATGTTTTGTTCAAAATGAAAGCGAAGTGATAGCCCAGATGCTCGTTTTGAATATAAAGTTTTATTTTATTTATATATTATTAGCGAAAAGGCGATAAAATATTCCGGTTTCCAAGTTATGAAAGGGCCAGCTAGAGGTTTTCCTAGGGCCTGATTTTATCTATCCGGCCGTGCTAATAAGATCTCGATAAAAAAGAACGATAAGGGCATGCTCTGCTTTCTTTCATATGAAATTTCAGTTTCGTTAGATAAGCAAAAAATATAGGCATAGTACAAAAACATTTGGATTTTATTGATAAATTATTTTTTACCAATTTTTACATTTTTTTCTCTATTTGATTTTGTAATATATTTATATATTAAAAACCTAAAATCTTTTGATTATTGAACCTAATATAATCACCTAAAAACAAATAAACAAATTTTATTTATTTTATAAAAATTTAATATTTATTCTATTCTATTCTTTTATATTATTATTTCATATAGTATATATTATTTTATAAGCTTTAAACCGATCAATAAAATAATTTATTTATTTCAAAATGAACATCGAAATTGTATAGCATTATGATTACAATAACGATTCAATTCTTTAATTTGGGAACATCAATAAAAAAGATTTTAGTATACGAGCGTCTAAGAACAACTTTAAATATTTTGTCGAAATGAAAATTTGAATAATTTGATTGAATTTAAATGACAAACATTTGATATCTTAAATTATTTAATTGAAAATTTGAATAATTTTATATTAAACTTAAAATTATTTAATTTCGAGTATCAGAGGTTTTCTGCGAAGGTCCGAACAAATTTTTATTTAGTATTAAGTACCTTATTGATTTTGTGTCAGTTCTTTCTAACAGTAACTTGTTTAATCCTTTCCACTCGGATGCAACCTCTCCGGCGGCAAAATACTTGAATAAGATGAATTTTAAAATTGATATCAATTTTGTATACCCCAAATTGGAATATGAATTGTCCAATATTCTCAAAATTGAATTGAATCTATTTCATACTAGAATGTCTCTTCGGAAGTAAAAGAAATATTGAATAGCGGAGACCGAAACAAATTTATATTAAAATTTTTATACAACGATATTAATAAAGTATTAGATATACTTTTGTTAAGCTACACATAAAATAAATTGAGTGAATTCTAATTATTCATTATTTGCCAATTTTTTGTAAAGATAAAAGATATATTTCCTAAAAAACACGAAAAATAGAACATTAATCTAATTGCTTTTACGTTGATGAAGTTGATCTGCGTTTTAATTCTAATATATTCTATTAGTTAATATTATGTTCTGAACTAATTGGGTTGTCATCAGGGCCGGATTTAGAAATTTGGCGCCCCGGGGCACTGACAAAAATGCCGCCCCATCCCTGAAATTTTACAACTTTCGAACTTTTTTTTAAAGCAATCGCGCTGCTTTAGCTGCTAGGGACAAAATATAGAAGCGCGTAAGCGCCGCGTCGCAGTCTAACGGGTAAACAATGTTACAGAACTTATATAAATGTAAACAAAATTTATACTTATTATTATAATATCTTTAAAATCACTTATGTCCGCCAAATGTTTCTTTTTCAAATTTTTTTATTGGATCATCGAAACCGCTAAACCTGCCCCCCACAAATTTAAGCAGTTATTTATTATGTTTTTTTTTTTTGAATGTTATTGGACGCTTTTTTCTCCAAAACTGAATTATAATTTTTGGAATTTTGGCCCGTGTTCTCGAAATCAACTTAAATAATTAAAAAATATTAGATTTGTATTGATGGGAAGACGTGCTGATTAGCTTTTGGTACAGGCAACTACGAAAAATGGTAATTTAGTTTCGATATTTCTTTTCTGAAACAGCTACGCAGCGCGATTGCTTTGCAAAAAGTTCATAATTTTCGAAAAATTTCAAAATTCAAAAAATGTGTTTTAGAAGTCTTTTTTTCATTTTTCAATAAAATTTAAAGCTCTTTATAAAATGTAATTTTCAGTACGGGATGTTTCAGTAATATGTCTTAAGGCACAATGCCATGAGTCACTAGATTAAATTTTTTTTCAACGCTATAAGCTTGGAAGTGCACAAATACGTCAATTTAAGAGAACTCGAGAACTGAAGAACATATTTTTCCTAAACTTTCAGCTTGTTTACGGATCTTTATATTAGCCAAATTGCCAAATTTGATAACTTATTAACCAATTTGATAATTTACGTTCGGAGAGGGAGGCAAGGCAAAATAATAAATTTTAGTTATCGTTTATTTCAACCAAAATTTTGCATTGCAATCGTATTATGTTTTGTTAATTATATTTCTTAAAATTAAAAATGTTGTTAAAAAAGTTGAATATATTGTATAGAATTTTTTTCTCACGATCCAAATTTTGCCGCCCCCCAAAATTTGCCGCCCTGGGCAGTAGCCCCGATTGCCCCTACTGTAAATCCAGCACTGGTTGTCATAAAGGATTTCCGAAATGCGCACATATGTTTAGTATAACAATATTATGTTGAAGCACTCGTGTAAGCTCGATTTGCTCTGTGGCAATAATAATAAAACTATTATTGTCATAGGATTTATCGTTGTCTTAATAAAATAACTTAATAAAGTTCCTGCCACAATCTAATTGGAAAGCCAAATTGTTTATGCAATTTGGCAAAAATAAAATTGCATAGTATTATCCAAGCATTTAGATTTATTATTTTATTAAACTTTTATCTTTTTAATTTGATAGAGTTAGATTGATAGTTTAATATTTTAGCTCGATATTTTCAACTTGATATTTTTAGTCCAAATTTTGAACTTGGTATTTTCAAATCGATTAAAACTTGCATAAAAACACATGGACAATAGACCACATTTTGAACAGGATAATTTTGCGCAACGATCGGCCAAGAAGTTTTTTATCATTTTATCTGAATACGGCAAATTGATTTGTCCAAGGTAAAGAATTTTGAACCAATTTTACTAATTTAAAAAAACGTTCGAAAGATATATCATTTTAGAATTACATTGATTAGTTTTCATATAAACATTGACAGGGTTATTTTTTCGTAATTAAATGTTTGTAAATGTTTTTTTCGTGTTTTTAATGAAACTTAACACGGCACTAGATTTTATGATCTAAAGTCTAACTCTAACTCGCTAAACGAACTCCCAATAATATTAGATGCCAGATGCCAACAAAAAGTGGCTAGATTATAAAAAATCAAGTTGGGAATAATAAGCTGCTTTAGGACATACGAGAGAGAGTGGGTGCACTATAATTAATATAACTACATATAGCATTGCAATTCTGATTGAAAAATAATAATTAGAAACCGTATTGCTTAATGTTAGTGAAATCAAAAACTTATTCTTTGTTAAATTTCATCTAAATAACTAAATCTCATTTGATTAAGTCGGTTATTTATTCATATTGGGAAGTTCGCGCAACTTTCCTTATACCTAGTTTATTAACTTCCCGTAGGGTAAGTTATAGTAATCGCAAAAAAATCGAAAATGAAAATTTTTGCATTTCTCGACGTTTCAAAACCTTCTGAACATTTTGGCATACCTTAGAAAAAATGGATGTATGTGTGTGTGTGTGTGTGTGTGTGTGTGTGTATGTATGTATGTATGTATGTATGTATGTATGTATGTGTGTGTATGTATGTGCGGATACAAATTTTCGTCGACGATTTCGGGAACACGGATCAACCGATTTGAATAATTCAAAAAACATTCGATTCGTATTGATAAGGAGACGTGCTGATTAGTTTTTGGCAAAGGCAGGTCTAGCCGTTCCGAAGATACGGGGCAAAAAGTGCCACGAACGGTACCTCCGTTTTTAAGAGAACGGAGCGTCCGATTTGAATAATTCAAAAAACATTTTACTTGTATTGACAAGATGTAGAATTGATCAAATTTTCATGGAGGTAGGTCTAGCGGTTTCGGAGATCTAATGAAAAAAGTAAAAAATAATGCCATTCGGCGGTTAAAAATGATCATTAGACATATGCACATCAAATT